GTGGAACCACTGAGCTAAATCTCCAGCCTATATATATATATATATATATATGGAAACTAGACAATTGTTAGCCAGACATAATGCATAAATGCAGAAAGGTTGCTCTCTGGTGGAGCAGACAAAAATTGCAGTACCAGGGATTCTAGGAAAAATAAAAACACATTATAAATTAGATGAATGTTTCTGTATTTGGAAAATATGTGAAGGGATTTTTCTTTCCACTATCAGGGATCACACTCAGGACCTTGTCTGTGCCAGGCAGGTGCTGTACCCTGAGCTAAGTTCCCAGCCCCTGTGAAAAGATCTTGACCCTTGCGTTCCTGTTGTAAAGAGGTTGATGCCAAAGGAGACCTGGTCAAGACCTCACTAAATTCACAGTCCTTTCTCCTCCATTTTGTTTTGCATATTCATGTTATTGTGATTGTAATTCACTTTAAAAAAAGACTTCAGTATAAACCATATACACTTTCATTTATGTCCTTTAGTTGGTTTATAAGCACACGAAGTTTACTGGGATTGACACTCCCAAGGAGTAGCTAAAGCAGTTGGTAGGAAGATTGAGCAGACCCTTGCAAGTCCTGACCTTTTGTCTTTAAGAGCCTTGCTGGCCACCTGGAGGCTGATGGTTGTGTGATGTTCCCCTTACCCAGCTGCGGGGGTTGGGCTTGCCTTTGGAAGGTGGCAGCAGCCTCCAACTGACCCTTTTATGATAGGGCCAAGTGGAATTCCACACTTCCAAACTATAAGGACAAATCACATGGCTGTTTTTGTGTCTCTTAGCTGATAAATGCTACATATTTGGTGGCATTTGATATAGTGCTTGCTTTGTGTATCATGAAATGAAGACACACAGTCTCCCAAACTCACCAAGGCTATTACTGAATGGCCAAACTGGCTTAGATTATTTGGCCACATCCTGCTTGTCCCTTCATTCCCTTTGTCAACTGAGGCATTACATAAGCCTACCTGAGTGTGCCTGACCTGGGACTTGTGCCTGCAGTCTGCTGTCCTCAGGCAGGGGAACAGATGGGAACGGGGAGAGAGTGGAACTGAAGGCTCTTGGAGCTGAGGGATTCTTCCCTGTGGAGGAGGCGGAATGGGTGACCCAGACTTCTAAAATCTTTGGTGGGTGGTGTGGGGGCAGACGGGCTAAGTAATTTTGGTTTATGACTACTCTTGAGCAAGAGCATTTGAGGAGAGGACTTGGGGTAGAGTTCTAGGAAGAAAAGGGGAGGACAGACTTCAGAAACTGCCTTGGGCTGCCAAGGCACAGTGGGTCCCATGACTTCCTTTCATCTGGCCATCTAGGAGGAAGGAGGGACAGGAGTGGGTCAATCAGCAGGCCAGCCCCAAGTCCGTCCTTCCTTCCTTCCTTCCTTCCTTCCTTCCTTCCTTCCTTCCTTCCTTCCTTCCTTCTGTACCAGCAGGTACGGTAAGAGTGGAGATAGTGTCGTGAGCAAAACCACAGATCACAGCCTAGTGGAGACATAAATTAATCAAATAAACTTGCAACTTTTTGTAAAACTACAATGGCAGATGTTCTGAGAAGCTTTGGATCTATGAGATGGAGACCGGGGCGGGGATGAGAGATGAGTTTGGACAGGTTTTTCACTGCCAGGTGCCAGGGCTGGTAGAGACGAGCCTGTGTACACGTGCCCGATCAGCGCTTGGAAAATCTCGGCCAGAGGGCCCGGGCCCCGGCCCGCTGGGGGCGCGGCCTCTTCCTGGGCGGTGAGTGTGGCGGGGAGCGGCA